GCCCACGCTGACCCTAAAATTATTAATGAACTCCAAGTAGTTCAAAACCTCTTCTGTCGTCGAGCTACGAACGCACCTTGGTACGTCCGTAATGCCGACCTTCATCGGGACTTAGAGCTCCCTACAATCCAACAATTCCTTAAAAAACTCTCTGAGAACTTCTTCAAAGCCTCAGAGTTGCATTCCAATCATTTTATTCGTGAGGCAGCTAATTATGCAGCCCCACTCCCCTCCCGCTATAGCGTCTGCAGGCCGAGGAACTCCCTCTCGGACCCGCCTAATAAACCTTCAAACGACCTGAACTGCCTCCTGGTGGCTCAGGCCAACTCTAATTAAGTTATTCATAATTAATTTGCCTTCGTAGGCACTCCCTCAGCGGCTAATAGCCGCCTGCGCCCTCTTTTCCCAAAAGAGGGTCGCTTCCGATACGGTATAAGAAGCTTTAAACAGCTGGTTGCCAGTCCCTAAAGGCGGTTTTAGAGGGTATCACTTAGGTTCCCCCGGTAGGCAGTGAGTCCCTCATAACCACGATAGACCGGCTGTCGTGGTATGCGTAATGCATTTCCGCCTCCCTACATAAAGGGTAGCCCTTTTCCAATTGCTTCGGGCGCAGAAAAAAAAAAAAAAAAGAACGGTCGGCAGTCGCTCTCCAGCCACCGAAAGAAGACAACAGCAAGAAAAAGTAAAAGTTCCTCCTCACCGCCGCTTGCCTCCAGTTTAAGCAAGACCAGCGCGTTTTTATTCATTTTTCGAACGGCGTTACGGCGATCCGTAACATTAATGGTCCTTCGAGAAGCCGGATTACTAGAAGAAAAAGACAATATCGGTCTTGGTATTGCCGGAAGAAAGAAGCAAACCGCAAGAACGAAACAATATTATTGTGAAGAAAAATGGTGATTACGCGTAATAACAACGGAGAATCATCGAAGCGTCGCAAGGATGAACAGATAACCCAAGGGGCCACAGAAGAGGCCTCTGGGGGCGATTCAACCGCTGCTGGTACATCCAACACCACGAGCGAAACCACAACGGTCAGCGATACAACCGCTACCTCTGCGACCGATAACACGACCGCAACGGAAGAAACCCATCAAGAGAAGGATCGAAGATCGTAGCGCACACTAAGGCCCGACGAGACTAGGTCGCGCCGCTCCGTAGCCTCACGCAAGAGACTCCTCGCGGAGTTAGAGGCGAAAGAGCGGTTAGCCGAACTCAAGCTCGAGCAGGCTCAGTTGCAAGCAAGAACGGAATTGCAAGAAATACACGTGCAGCGACTACAAGCAGAAGTCGGATCAACCGATGTCGAAGATGAAGAAATAGAAGACGATTTAGCATCAGTACCTTAGTCGCTACCTTAGCCGCTGCTCTATCACAAGCAGTACGAAGCACAAGGGAGCCGCCGAAATATGTGCAAGAGCTACCTACATTCAATGGTAGCAGCAAAGAATGGCTCAGCTTCAAAACAACGTACGAAGAATCTTCAAAGTACTTCACGATGAACGAAAACATAGCGAGAATACGCCGAAGCTTAAAAGGGACAGCAAAAGAAATCCGGAACCTATCTGGACCTATCTGCATAGTCCGGAAATGACGCGAGTTATCACAGACAAACTCACGCCCATATTGAGAAGCAAATGGTACGACTATGCAGCCAGAAAGAAAGAAGACATCCCAGAGCTTAAGAAGATATCAATGTTCTTAAACGAAGAAGCGGATAAATGCAGCGCGTATGCCTTGCCGGAGTTCATAGTAGAGGACAGTGAGACGAGAGAGCGAAGACCGAGAAAAATAGAACGTGCCTTCGCCACAAGCAAGAAACAATATGAAGAATGCTGCCCTCAATGCAAACAAGAACACAAACTGCCCGATTGCAAGTCATACGCCGCTCTGTCCACAAATGACAGATGGGAAGTAGCAAAGAAGTATAATATCTGCTACCGCAGTCTGCGTGGCAAACATCGCCGATTGCTGTGTAAAGCTCCACCGTGCGGAAAAGGCGGATGCATGATGAAACACCATAAATTGCTGCATCACGACAGAACAGCAGAAATTGAAAAGGAACCCGCTATGGAAACCGCAACATCGGCAAGGGAGGTCATCACAGCGACTCGACCGTACAAACACCGCCGCGCTTATCTAAAGATTGCGCCCGTAACAATAAGGGGGCCGCTAAGCTGCGTCGAAACATACGCATTATTGGATGAAGGAAGCACGGTCACCTTAGTCGATGCCTCGATCGCCGACGTCATCGGCGCCGACGGCCCAGCCCACGTAATGTGGATACAAGGGGTCGGCTCGGAGGTGAAACATGAGAAGAGCAAGATCGTCAGCCTTAAAATAAAAGGAAAGTACGTGCAAGAGGAACACAACATAGAAGCAGCGCGTACGGTAGAGCGGTTGGACTTCGCGCCAGAATCCGTGAATGAAAACCACATGTCGACAAATTGTGTGGAAGTACATACCACCATCAGCACCGTTCATGGGCGACGCATGGGAGCGAATGGTTCGCTCCGTGAAAGAAGGTCTACGCGTCACAATCAACGAGCGCTATCCCAGTGACGAGACATTGGTGAACCTGCTCGCCGAGACACACGTCTCAGTCGACCCAGGAGAGCCAGAAGCCATCACGCCGAATCACATCATCATCGGTTCCAACTCGCACGTACCTGCGCCGGGACACTTCAGCGAGAGCGATGTGACGGCCCGCCAGCAGTGGAAACGAGCTGAAGCCCTAGCCGACGTGTTTTGGAAAAGATGGGTGAAAGAATACCTGCCCCTACTCCAACACCGGCGGGAGCCCAGCAGCATAGGCGTATCACCAAAGATTGGAGACCTAGTCATCATTTGTGACTCCAATCTACCACGCAACATCTGGCCCAGGGGAAAAATCAGCAACGTATATCCTGGCGTCGACGGAGAGGTACGAGTAGTGGTCGTAACCACTGGCAGTGGGCATGTACTACGAAGACCGACAAAGAAGATCGTCGAGCTACCAAAGGGATCGCAGCGTGACGACGGCGGGAGAATGTGCACGACGCAAACAAAGTGATACGTCGAACTTACTAAATGCTTGTCGTAACCAACGCTAGTTGAACAACCTAGGGGCGGTGGGCGGAGCCATGAGGGTGTTACGATCGTCGGGCCGCGCTCACGGTTCTACAACTAGCGGTGGTTGCACACAGCAACGCGGGAAAAGCCGTAACAAGAATATTGACAAATATAGCTTTGTATTTTAATAAAAAGTATTGTAACTATGTAATAACTCTCCCAATAAAGGCACCGAACGAATAGCGAGAGTTAACATAAATTTGAATGTAGAAATCAATTAATGTAAAATTGTAAAGTAATTATTGTATGTAAATTGTATTCCTTTATATAGTACAATTTAATTTCTTATATATTAAGCCCTTAGGCACGAAAAATAATAAACAGGGCATGTTACCGTGACGCGGCCGCGGAGCGAATGAGGCTACGCGCGCCGCGCCACGACGTTTTATATTTATAGTACTGAGGCGGGGGGCAGGGTCCTCAGCTCAAAGCTGCTGAAAAACAACGTTTAAACTTTTAGTATATAGAAAAATTGTTACGTACGTATTAGTTTAATAAGTAGTTGTAAGAATGTTATATATTTAAGTCTGTTCATTAGTTTGTAGATGTAAATAATGTAAATAATGCTCTATCGAAACTAGTACATTGGTTTAACGCCAACAATTTGCTCTTAAACGGCAATAAGACAAAATGTATTAAATTTACAATACCTAATGTAAAACATTCGAAAACCAATGTGCTCTTAAATGGGGAGGAGTTGAGTCTTGTGGATACCACTGTTTTTCTCGGTATTACTATTGACGCGAAACTTCAATGGGGCCCCCATATATCTAAATTAGCAAGCAGACTTAGTTCTGCAGCATATGCTGTAAGAAAGATTAGAAGTCTCACAGATGTTGAGACAGCTAGGTTAGTGTATTTTAGTTACTTTCATAGCGTAATGTCTTATGGAATTTTGCTATGGGGTAATGCGACTGATATTGAAGCTATATTTGTTTTGCAAAAGAGAGCCGTACGGGCGATTTATAATCTAAATTGTAAAGAGTCCCTTAGAGAAAAATTTAAAGAAATAAACATATTAACTTTGGCATCGCAATATATTTATGAAAATGTAATGTATGTACATAAAAACATAAATAGCTTTAATAAGAATAAGGATGTTCATACCTTAAACACTAGGAACAAACATAAGCTTGTAATGCCACTTACAAGACTCCACAGAATTAGTAATTCATTTATGGGGCAATGTATACGCTTTTACAACAGAATCCCAGAACATGTTCAAAGTTTGTCAATAAACAAGTTTAAAAGTTTTATTAAAGAAAAACTGTACAAAAAGGGTTATTATAATATCAAGGAATACATGAGTGAAAATAACCCCTGGGAATAAGGTGATCGCCACCATGCTGGTTCTATGAAAATTCATTTAAAATTGTATAATCAAAATTATTGTTAAGTGAAATTATGTTTAAAAAAAAAAGTCCCGCTGGGTTTCTTGCTGGTTCTTCCCAGGACAGAGGTATTTTCCGAACCAGTGGTAAATAAAATAATGACTTTCAATAAGCATTATGTAATAATCCATATTGAATAAAAATCATTCTATTCTATTCTATTCTATTCTGTAAGAAATCTAACCAATAAAGAAAGGCGCGGGGGTGAGGCAAGGGTCCGCTGGCCAGCAACGGCCAAATAATATATAAGACGGGCCGGCCGGAACGGTCGGCAATCGCTCTCCAGCCACCGAAAGAAGACAACAGCAAGAAAAAGTAAAAGTTCCTCTTCACCGCCGCTTGCCTCCATTTTTCGAACTGCGTTACGGCGATCCGTAACAATATTAATAAAGAAACTTTTGATAGCAAGAAGTAATAAGTGCTCTTTGCAAAGTGCATAATATATTTTAAATCTGTTTATACTTTTAGTCTGTTTGTTAAATAAATAAATGATTACTTCAGATATGCGCTGTGGCTTCTGGAGTGCTCCCACGACTCGGGCCGCTGCCACGCGACCATGTTCTTCGGGCTGTCCTTCCAGTTCCGCGTTATATTGGAGGAATTTGATAATCAGGCGAGTATACACTATACTTACACTAGCACTCTGTTACTAACCTACTGTTTAACAGAGATTTATCCTCTGATTTTTCTACCGACTTCAAAAAGGAGACGGTACTCAATTCTAACTCATGTTCAAACTATATGTTTTTTATGTGTTACCTCATAACATTTTTCTGGGTGAACCGATTTCGATGATTTATTTTATTTGAAAGTCCCATATAAATTTGATCAAGGTCTGACAAATAGTTTCTGAGATGTCCTTATTAATATATGTTAAAGTTGGTTGTACAAATTTTTTAATTTTAAATTATTATAGAAGAAGTGTGACAAACGAGTATACTGTTCACTAGATGGTAAATGGATGCTGTGGTCCTACATCTATCCTCGATTAAAAGTCAATATGCGGATGCGTTGTCACCCCGGAAGATTAAGATGGAATGTCTCGTTTCCATTAATGAGGACTATACTGAACACAGCATTATTAAGGTGCTGGCACTGGCTTTGACGCTGGAAGAATACCGCCATAGTGAGAGCGTGGCCCTTCCCAGGTCGAGTCGAACCATTGGCGCTATAACTCTAAAGCAGGCGCCAGATATAGCAGCAACATTTGAACACTTATTTGATGAACGTTGCACACTTGTTTGAACACTTATTGGTGCAACCTGCCAGACATGCTGTGCAAGTACATATCTCCACAGTACGTGGATAAACGACAAACAAGATGGACGACAATTTTGTGGATGCAGTGTGCCTGTATTATTGTGCATGTCGTTATTTATTACATGTGCAAAAATCTATCAAAACGACCGAAAAGCAGGCGCGAATGGAGGTGTTGTCAATATACTTAGTTACATTACAAAGAGTGTATTACTTAATGTTATATGTCACGGAACTGACCCCCACGGGAGGTCTGAACTACATCTGAGATTCTAGTATGTGCGACATGGAAATTAAGCCAATCGATATCAATAGAAATTGCCTTGACAGCAAAGAGAGTCGTCGACTTACTGCTTATATATCCTACAGCTGCATCCTGACCTCTCATTTCAGCGAGGATTTTAAAGCAAGAGTCGGTCAGATAATATAAATGGTTTCTGATGAGTAAATTACATCGACTTTATGTAATATTGAAAAGAAACTTGTGTGCAGTTCACACGCGGTAGGAGTAAAACCTTCAGAAATAGAGATCAAGATAATAGAAACCACTGTATACTGTATTGTATCTTATTATCTCGCAGGTTAAATCCTATAGATGTATATGTTTGTCTCTTTTTAGTGTCGCTTTTTCGTTTCATCGAGTTTTAATACACAAAGATTCTAAAGAACTTTTCACTTCTGTAAAATAATATTCTACGTAAAAGCTTTTGAATTGATTCTGAGATTTATTCTAAAACATAGTGTATATGTACATTTTTATATAAACTATTTTTAAGCATCTTCAAAAGATATATTTGTAGTATTGTAGTAACACGAATGGGTCGGCTCGACCGTGGAAAGACTACGCTGTAACAGAATACCAGCGTAAAGTAACACCTTAATGCTGCTGTGTTTCGTATGGTGAGTGTAGAGAACCGGAGACCCTTTTTACTGGAAACGAAGCATTACATCTTAGCCCTCACAGATGACAACTCATCTGCATTTAGATTCTTTATTGAGGATAGATGTGGATGTCTATAGGCCACAGCAACCACTTACCATCAAGTAGGCTGTGTGCTCGCTTGTCACCCTTATCCTATTTGAAAAAAAAAAGTAGTAATAATCTTATTCTTCGTAGTTATTTGAAGTCGGCATTTACTTATTAAAAGTTTAAATCTCAAATCAACAATAACAATTTCAGGACGGGCTCCGAAAGCTGTATAACGTGATCTCTACGCTCCCGATCCTTGGATCCGACGAGGAGGAATCTCGCGTGTCGGAAGACGAGACTTGTGCGGCGCGGCAGATTGTCCGCCACGTCTGTGTTGCGCTTCGGAGGTACAACTCACACTCTGCTTATTGTGTCTCCATTTCTCTTTCTCTATCTCTCCTTCAACCTGAAAAATTTCTATTGCTGGGCATGAATCTATTCTATATTAGATAAGGTTAATGTGCCGGACGGGCGTCTCTCCGGAGTAAATGTTGTCGAAGATACTCCGCGAGTCGCTCACGTCCTACACCTATAGGTTCCGGAGGATACTTTCACTGCCGTCTCTGTGTGTGCTGCTGGAAAACTGTGGACTGAGCTTCAAAATTAAAATGCACGATTTATAAATTAAAATAGCAAGGGAGTGGCCAGCGGTTCGACTGAGTGATTAGTCGTGAAATTTTATAATTATTATTTATTGACCACGGTTGTTGAACACGGTTGTTCAACTACGGTTGTTCACTATTGGTTGGTCACTATATATTTTAACAGATTTAATTCTTTTGGTAGTATCAAATATCTATTGGTAGTATCAAAATATCTATTGGTAGTATCAAAATATCTATTGGTAGTATCAAAATATCTATTGGTAGTATCAAAATATCTATTGGTAGTATCAAAACATCTATATGCGCTATCCTTGGGTTGCCGGAGTCATATATTAGTTGCTCCTTCAGGTCTTTTAAATGTTTGCAATTTGCTATATCTGCTGCACACACAGTCTGTGGCCCCAAGTTTAGGCTGGCGACCGTGCGTGCTCTGAATGGCACCCTTTTTCTGTGGAGACTCTTCAACGAAACTTTGACTCTTCGAGAGTCCGGCGAATCGAGCGTAGTGTTCCCGATAGCGGTGATCTTAAATGGGTCCAACCGCCCTGTAGCTCCGATTTGTTTGGCAATTTCCTCATCAGACTGTTGACCCAGCATCCAGCGTGTGTGTTTACAGCTCCCGCCGGTCCGATTACTCGAACTGGGATTATTTTTAGGTAGGCGTGATGCTTTGACACAGCGAACGAGTTAGCTACGGTTTCCTGAGGTTCTTTTTGTGTGACCTATGTCTTCTCCTTTTTATTATGGTGGAGAAGTCGATTATGTGTCGCGGTGCATCCTTTAATGCCACACTTAGTGATTTTGCATTTGTGTGTTTGATTTCTGTAGGGTAAACAGCAGAAACATAAATTCCTTTGTTTTGCAATTTCCCATTTTTTATCGACATCTGCTTTTTTAAATTTGTTACAGTCGGATCCGTAATGACCCTCTTTTTCGCACACTCTGCATTTCGGAGACGACTTAGTGGTAGCCGCGTGCGTTCTGTGTACTGAACGATTGTTCTGCGCTCCGTTTATAATTTCAGGAGGTGCAAATGCACTGCAGAAGCGAGCTTGTTCGGTGATAAACTCGCTGAATGAACCGAGGTCTGGTCTAGAATCGTATTTTTCGGTGTAGATTCTATACCACTGTGCACGTATAGAGTTTGGCAATTTGTCGGTGAGGTGTCGTAACAGCTTTGCGTTGACGAGGTAATGGTCTCGTTTGAGTGCCCGAAGAGTGACGACGCTTCCCCTCACTTTGCTCGCGAATGTGCAGATGTCTCTAGGCGCTTCTGTACAGCGTGGTAATCCTCGTAATTTCTCGGTTTCGGCTTGTGCAATTGAATCTGGACGCCCAAATTGTAGCTCCAGTTCTCGCATGATCTCATCTGGCTTAGCATGCCCGATGAGTTCTGAGCTGACTGTTTCCAAGGCTCTTCCTTGTAGACTTCTTCGTAGTCTTGCAGTATTTTCAATATCATTGAAGTAGCCTCGGGTTGTTTCGTAAATGGCACGGAACGAAAGCCATTCGGTATGTGCTCCGCTAAAGCTCGGCAGTGTCATTATAGCTTTCGACGCTGCGAAAGTATGCAACGATAGTGATGCACTCTCTGGTTTTGGTTTGTCAGCGAGTGCAGCTATAGCGGATGTGAGCTCCGATATAAATGGTCGGAGCCCTCTGTCTTCATTAATGACAGGTGCCTGGTTAGACTTCTTTGGCATGGGATTCTTCGGTACATCTTCCGGATAGGGATCCTGGTAGGTGAGCTCTGATACAATTGGTAGGAGCTCCCTGTCTTCATCAACCTTGGAGTCCTGGCTAATCTTCTGTGGCATAGGATTCTTGGGTACATCTTCCGGATAGGGATCCTGGTAGGTGAGCTCTGATACAATTGGTAGGAGCCCCCTGTCTTCATTAACCTTCGAATCCTGGTTTGTGAGCTTTTTCTGCGGCTCACTGAGGTCGACAACCTCCGGAGGTGGCTTTGTGATGGTTTTGTTTAGTGGGGCCTCCCCTCCGGTGGTGGCGCCTTGAGTTGGCTTTTGCTTGGCTACGGAATTTTCGAGCCAAGATCGGACGTACTCGCTTTTGGAGTGACCATCTTCATCATAGTCGTCCGATTCATCTTCCTCCTCAGCCATTTGTAAGGAAATCTGTGCGAGTTCCAATTTGATTCTCAACACTTCTTCACGAGCCTTCAAAACTTTTTTATTGGGCCGAATAGTTTTCTTTGACTTTGTACTTCTATCGGGGTGGCCCCTTGGTGGCTCTTCGGCGCGGGTATCTTCCCGGGCTGTTGGCGGTGATGTACAGCGAATTCATCGTTGCCTTCTATTTGTTACCTTTGCTTCGGTGTACCGGTGGTAGTGGCCGGCACGGGCAGGAGTACCCCCCCATCGCGGGGGCAAGATGGCGCCTCAGCGCCCTCTGTTTTTGATGGTGAGCGTGGTGGCATCTGGTGGCGGACGGCGTCGGTATTGTCCGACGGGCCTCCTTCCAGACCGACGGTCCACGCCATGGCTCCCCTTCCTTGCGAACGAGTGATCGGCATCTTGATTCTGAAAATTCTACAACTTTAATACGATAGTGACTATGTATCCGGTTCCGAAATAGAAACGGATGGAGTATCCGGCTCGAAGGACCAGGGAATGTGCCGGACGGGCGTAACTCTCCGGAGTAAATGTTGTCGAAGATACTCCGCGAGTCGCTCACGTCCTACACCTATAGGTTCCGGAGGATACTTTCACTGCCGTCTCTGTGTGTGCTGCTGGATAACTGTGGACTGAGGTTCAAAATATAAAATGCACGATTTATAAATTAAAATAGCAAGGGAGTAGCCAGCGGTTCGACAGAGTGATTAGTCGCGAAATTTTATAATTATTATTTATTGACCACGGTTGTTGAACACGGTTGTTCAACTACGGTTGTTCACTATTGGTTGGTCACTATATATTTTAACAGATTTAATTAAAATGCGCGGTAGTATTAAAATTTCTATTGGTATTAAAATATCTATTGGTAGTATTAAAATATCTATTGGTAGTATCAAAATATCTATTCGTAGTATCAAAATATCTATTGGTAGTATCAAAATATCTATTGGTAGTATCAAAATATCTATTGGTAGTATCAAGTATCTATTGGTAGTATCAAAATATCTATTGGTAGTATCAAAATATCTATTGGTAGTATCAAAATATCTATTGGTAGTAGCTGATTTTCTAACACTACTGACTAGCAGCTTTTTATCAACTAAAACTAGTTGATTTTATCACTTGTGTAACTGCGAATATCAGTTACCACTTTTTCCGTCTAGCTAACACTTTTCACTATATGTAACGGCGAATTTTCCGTTACCACTTTTTTCGGCTAGCTAACACTTTTTCACTATATGTAACTGCGAATTTTCAGTTACCACCTTTTTCGGCTAGCTAACACTTTTTTACTATATGCAACTGCGAATTTTCATTTGCAACTTTTTTCGGCTATGTGTAACTATGATTTTCAGTTACGACCTTTTTCGGCTAGCTAAACTTTTTCTAATTCACTATTACTGTTTACTATGTTCTGTTACTAGTCACTTCAGCTACTACCGGATACTACTGCTTGTCACTGGTAGTTCTTCCTACTACAACGTTACTGGGATTTGCCCCCATAAGGTAGACTTCGGCTATACTGTATAGTGAGCCGCTTGCCATTTTCCGTTTTGCCTCTTTATTTTTAAACATTTTCACTATGTAATTAGCACAAATCGCTATATTTTCTATACAAGGCAAATTTTTATACTAACACGCTATACATCATTAAATAGGCATTTTGGTCCTTTATCAGTATGTGATAAAGGTTACTCAATATATTTACATTTAAAAAAATTATTAAACGAAATGTCCCAAATTTTCACAACAAATGGGTACATTAATTCTTTAATTTTTCTATAACTATCAAATGCGTTTAATTATACAAATTATTTCTTTACTATCGTAATCTATATACCACATGCTAACTAAATATCATATTTACAACTCTTTTAGAACACAAAAATATTCTCATTATTTTCAGTACAAACTATTGCGCAGTTAATTAAACTTCCAGAAAGTTCTACGATATGATGCGCTGTGATTGGTCGAATTTTTCTGAAACGCTTAAAGTTGTTTATATCAACTATTATTAAAACGACATTCTATACAAATATATTAAGAGTTGTAAACTCACTGTAAAACCATATTAATACACAATTTACTCGATTTCGTTGCTAATTTCACTTTTTATACAAAACAATATTCTTTCATCACTTTTTTCTTAAAGTCTTTAAGCCGTCGTGAACACAATTATAATAAGCATCTCTCACACATTAAACATATTACTTGAAGTCATTACATAGTTTGAAATTATTTGCAGGTACCTAGAAGCACATTTAAGGCTACGAGCGGCGCAAGTTGCCCGGCAACAAGGCAACAATGTTCCAGAGCCACCACCTTATAAGGTAATATAATTTAGTTTGTTTGGTCTTAGGTAAAAAAAAAAAAAAACAATGTTACTCCCACACTTTAATGTTTTTCGGTATGATCGAAGTGTTTCACTTACATAAATTGATACAAACATACAACCAGACCCGGAACAATAATTTGTTGGTAATACAAAGACTTATTTCTTGTGGGATTCGAATCCTCGGCTTCACAGTGCTGCAGTTAAATAAAACTTGTTAGTCACTGCGCTACAGAGCTCTGGGCCTATTGTAAATTAAATTATTCATCACCTCGTTCACTCCTGGACGTGGGCCTCACCCCTTGTAGAAAATAATTGCTATAATCTTCAAGCTAGGGAGGCGAAATGGCGATCGAAGTAGGTACGCCATCTTCGGTATTATATCGACCTTGTAAGAGATGGCGTTGATCATGAGCTGTGATAATAATAGTTTGATTACTACTTCTTATTCATGAAATGATTGTATTGAAAATTCCTGTATATTTATACATACTACCTGTGCGGTTAAAGAATGGGATTGAAAATGGCGTCGCCTCTATTCACCTCGCGCTTTTTTTTTTTTGCGCCCGAAGCAATTGGAAAATGGCTACCCTTTATGTAGGGAGGCGGAAATGCATTACGCATACCACGACAGCCGGTCTATCGTGGTTATGAGGGACTCACTGCCTACCGGGGGAACCTAAGTGATACCCTCTAAAACCGCCTATGGGGACTGGCAACCAGCTGTTTAAAGCTTCTTATGCCGTATCGGAAGCGACCCTCTTTTGGGAAAAGAGGGCGCAGGGGGCTACTAGCCGCTGAGGGAGTGCCTACGAAGGCAAATTAATTATGAATTACTTAATTAGAGTTGGCCTGAGCCGCCAGGACGCAGTTCAGGTCGTTTGAAAGTTTATTGGGCGGGTCCGAGAGGGAGTTCCTCGGCCTGCGGACGCTATAGCGGGAGGGGAGTGGGGCTGCATAAATAGCTGCCTCACGAATAAAATGATTGGAATGCGACTCTGAGGCTTTGAAGAAGTTCTCAGAGAGTTTTTTAAGGAATTGTTGGATTGTAGGGAGCTCTAAGTCCCGATGAAGGTCGGCATTGCGGACGTACCAAGGTGCGTTCGTAGCTCGACGACAGAAGAGGTTTTGAACTACTTGGAGTTCATTAATAATTTTAGGGTCAGCGTGGGCAAAAATGGGGCCCGCGTAGGACATGACTGGTCGTATACAGACCTTATAAAGGGTACGCTTGTTTCTGATGGACATTTTACTGTGTCGGCCCATTATACTGTTGAGCCTACCCAGGTAAAAACGTGCGTGATGGGTTACTCTTTTGACGTGGGACCTGAAAGTGAGCCTCGTGTCAAGGGTGACGCCTAAATATTTGGCAGTCGTATGCCAGGGGACAGGGGTCCCTAGCATACGTATTGGTGGAGTGTTTTTGAGTCGGCGTCGTTTATAATCGAAGTGAACGGCGGAGCTCTTCTCCGGGTTCACATCGATGCGCCATTTTTTGAACCAAGCTCCTAGGTCATCAACTGACTTTTGGATCTTGTTCCGTATGAAAGGTAGCGAGATACCTTTGCAGTATAGGGCAGTGTCATCTGCGAAGAGGGAGAGCTGAACACCTTTCGACGGGATGGGAATATCGTTAGTGAACAAAATGTACAGGAGAGGAGCAAGTACTGAGCCCTGAGGGACACCAGCTTTGATGGGGCGCTGAGAAGATAGCGTGCCTTCGTGTCTAAAACGAAAAGTACGATGCTTTACATAAGAGGCCACGAGACGTACTAGACGATCGGGGAGACCTATTTTGTATAATTTGTAGATAAGGCCTTCATGCCAGACTCTATCAAAGGCTTTAGCTATGTCGAAAAAGACAGCGATGGTCTTATGACGACGAGGATAAAAACCGCTGAGGATATATTCCACAATACGGTGAACTTGTTGGGGACAAGAGTGTTTCGCTCGGAAACCGAATTGATGGGGGATGATATGAGGGTCACCGTCTGTGGGAAACAGATGGCGCCTTATGCGAGTTTGGATGACTCTTTCGAAGAGCTTGCCCATGGCCTTGAGGAGGCTAATGGGGCGATGACTGGAGGGAAGGTTGAGAGGCTTGCCTGGCTTTGGAATACCAATCATAGTTGCCTCTTTCCACGTAGTGGGAAAGTAACTAAAGTTGAAGCAGGCATTGAAGATAATAGATAAAAGGGTTAGCACCTGCTCAGGAAAGTGTTTTAGGGCTTGGTTGGAGATGCCATCCGCGCCCGGAGCCTTTTTAGGCTTAAGTCCTTTGATGAGGGATGAAATCTCATCATTGGACACAGAGATAGGTTCGGAGGCTGTAGGGGGTGAGTTCCGGTGGCGGACCTCATCCTCCACTGCCTGGACGTGTGAGGGGTCGACGGGTTGAGAGCTAGGAGAGCATTGAGCGGCAATGCTGTCTGCAAAGCACTCAGCCTTTTCCTCGTCCTCGAAGGCTACCGTACCGTCGGGACGGGAGAGAGGGGGAGTGTGGGTGATAGCGTCTATGCGGAGGGCTCTTGCCATCTGATAGTACGCTGTATGAGAGGGAGAGATATTCTCCATGAGCTTACTCTTTTCGAGGTCTCGAAATTCAGAGAGGCGGAAACGGAGTTCTCGTTGAAGACGATTGGCCGTGCGCCTATATTCGGGCGTGGGATATTTTGCTGCTCTCCGGAAAGCAGCTTTTTTGGCTTTTAATAGGTTGCTAATATGCAGGGTAAGCCCACTATTATAAGCAACCGGGACGACCCTTTCGTTCTCCTTAAGGGAGGTTTTAATAAGGGTGGAGAGTGAATCGACCGCGGTGTCGATTTTTTCGGGACTGTCTAAGTCCGACGATAGGGAGATTGGGGAGTCCTGTGAGTCCAGAGCTTTCGCTAGGGACTCCTTGAAGCCCTTCCAATTTGTGAAGGTTTTAGTAGAGGGTGTTGAGGGGGGTGGCTGATGGCCAAGAATGAGGGAGACCGGTCTGTGGTCGGATCCTAGATCGTCTAGTGTCTCGATTGCCCTGAGGTTGAGGGAAACACTTTTGAATAGTGCAAAATCTAGCACGTCGGGAGCGTAATCGGTGATATCGGGATAGTGAGTAGCACCGAGGGGACTGTGGACGGTAAGGTCAAGAGACTGCGTGATATCGAGCAGTATCCTGCCACTACGTGAAGTAGTACGGCATGTCCATTCAGTGCGCTTGGAGTTAAAATCTCCAAACATAATGACTGAATTGTCTAGAGATAAAATAGCCTCAAAATCTTTTCTGAGGGGAAGGGTTTTAGAAGGGATGTAACAGGAGGCTATGAAGATGGACTGATGTCCAGTCATAGCTAGCCTACATACCGTGGCTTCCATGTTTGAAAGTTGCGGAGTAGAAATGGGAGAGCAGTGAAGTGTCTTCTTGTAATAAATGGCCGTACCGCCGCCTCGGCGGTCGGGTCTGTCATTACGAAGAAGAGAGAAGTTTTTGATGGAAAGGCCTTTAGTGTCCATAGTATTGAGATTAGTTTCCTGTAGAAGGAGGAAATCGGCTTCACGATTTCGAAGAAAGAGCTGAAGCTCTGGGAGGTTATTTCGCAAACCGCGAATGTTAAAGGATACAAGCGATAAACCCTTAGGTTTGATACGACCGTGAGACTTTGGTAGAGCAAACTGCTCCGTCATTGTGAGTTAAGTTAATTAAGTTAACTTAACTTACAACGAGCACAAAAGATTATGATGCTCTGCAAGAGCGAGGAGACGGTCCTGAGGGGACCTCGCAGCGCGCAATTTGCGTGCTAACACAGCGATTTCCTCAACGTTGATGTTCCTAATAGCGGAATACACCGTTTTTGGGTCATCAGCCATTGAGGGTTGTGATTGTTGTGGGGCGGAGGATGTCCGCGGTGGGTCTGCCTTTTTGGGGCCCCAGGGAAAGACTGGAGGCTGCATAGGCTGAGAGAAGCCCGGAGGGGGCCGAATAGTGCCCTGAGAGGGTCTAGGGGGACCCTGAGAGGGCCGAGAGAAGCCCTGGGTGGGCTGAGAAAGGCCCTGACGGGGCATCCGTTGGTAAAGAGCCGGGAATGAGCGGTCATTGACCGGCGGTGGAGCTTGCCTACTGGGGCGAGGATGAGGTGCGCAAGGGCAGCCTCTGTAGTTAGCCGGGTGGCCTGTTTGTTTACACAGGACACACGCGGGTGGGGATTCGGCGTCTTTGGGCCGAGGACACTCTTTAGTGTTGTGGGGTTCAAGGCACTTAACGCACCTGGGTGGGGCGGAGCAGTTGGCCGCCGCATGACCATACAGCTGGCAGCGGTGGCACTGCGCCGGGAACCCGCGCCTATGTGGAGGCTCAACCCTCACTCTCGACAGGCCGCATACTGTGCGTACCTGCCGGAAGATGGCTTTCGCCTCCGGCACGTTGGTTAAAATTACTAGGGCAAGAGAGAACCTCTGGCCCGTTCTACTGTACATTTTGTGCACGGCTTCTACGGGGAAACCTTGGGACTTAAGGTCCTCAAGGATTTCCTCGTTGGAAAATTCGAAGGGGACACCGCGGATGACGGCCCTGACTTTACGCTCTTCCGGAAGAGCGTATGTATGGTAAGATACTCGTTCGGCTGTAAATAGCCTGGTGAGACGACGGAAGTCGTCGATTGATTGGGGGATGATTTTAATCGCCTCCCCGAGGTTGATGGCGTGATCGTATTTTATTCCTGCGTTGTAGCAGGTTTTGGATAGTTCCGTGAATTTTGCCTTGTCTCTTAGGAAGTCAGGGGGCGGGACTTGCTTTTTGGCAAGGACTGGAGCACAGCGAGTGGCTGGCTTGGTCGGAGCGGGGATGTCTAGTGACAAAAGTGGGGCTGAGGCAGCGACGGGGGCTGCGGGGGCAGCGGAAGCTGCGGAGGTTGAAGGAGCGGCAGGGGCCGCTGAAACAGGGAGGGTGCGGTTTTTCGCGGCGCGTTTACCGCTGCGCTTGGAGTTCACCGTGGTGAACGAAGAATCACCGGTTCCGTC